TTTTTTTCTATAATTTTAAGTATTTATTTCAGTTTTCAATTTTTTGAAATTTCCTGGTTAAAGCAACATGTGAAATTAAAAAAAAAAAAGCTGTCTGACAAAACTTAAAATAAAGACAATGTGCAAGCTAGACAGGGCAGGGAGAAGATCAAAAAGGGGAGAATATGACATAAGGACCTAAAATTCCCCATTTCCAAAAAGTTGGCTTCTATTCCATTCTCACGGAAATTATATTTAGGTATTGAAAGTGTCATCCTGTTAGGGTTGTGAGATACCAATGCTTTATACCTCAGGGTTCTTTTCTCCCACGGTGCTTATGTATCACTGTCAGCAACATTAATGGGGGTTCTGAACAGGAGTGACTGTGAAGACCTACTCCTAAGAGTATGAATGGTTTGGTCATTATTAAAAACTACATCAGCTGGAAGAGGAGAGCATGCTTGGAAACTCACAAAGACTTCTTATGAGGCTCACAGTTCAACTAGATGTGAACAGCAAAGAGAAACAATAAATCTTAGAGGTATGAGAAAATTTATATTTTCTCAATGAATAAAATAGATGTATTTAATAATAATTGCTTAGACTTATGAAAATAAACACATTGGCAATATCTAAATACACAAATACATAAAATTTCCAATTTATAAATTATAATTTTGAAATATTTTTTCAGTGTATAATGGGCTGTTATATGTCATCTAGTGCATATTCATTTTAAAACACATTGGCAGGTGAAAGATCACATGCTAAAGGAATAAACAGAAAGCTGTTATGGTTTTTCTTTTAAAGTAGTCTTGAATATTTAAAGGACAAACTAAAAAAACCAGATAGTACAAATTAGGTTTACTAATAACCAGAATAATAAGGAAGAGCATGAGAAGGGCCCTAAAATAGTAAAATAATTTAAGATATAGACTATCAAGCTGACAATGAATTAATGTCAAACATCTTGCATAAATATTGCACAGCAGTGACTCTCTTCTCATAATTATAAAATTTTATGTAATGAGAGGCTGAAATTCTGTAATAAAATTATGCCAAAAATTTGCTAGATTAATAGTTTCCTTCTCTGCTCCCAGCTCCTACAACATGGTTTCAGGGTATATCATACTATTCAAGGTAAGTGTATGAGGATGATGACAACAACTATCACAGTAGCAGCAGCCAGCCTGTTATGATGGAGAGGGTATTATGCTTTGTTCTTCCCACAGTCTTTGAGAAAGCCTGTCTGGTCCTCTCTACTGTCTAGTCCACGAGGTCAAATGAAAAAAGTCAAGGCATCCCTTTTCAACAGGTACTATTCAGCTCTGACTAACTTTGGTACTTAGTACGAATGTATAGAAATGAGAGGTGTGTGGCAGGGAAGGCAGGGAGGGAGAAAGAGGAAACATTTAAGGAAACTGCATACTAGTATAAAGAGGGAAGAGAAAAAATAAGATTTTAAATCCAGTTTTGATAATTAACTAATAATTCCAGTATATCAAACTTTACCACCTTAACATTATATTAAGCTTGAACTATGACCAGATTCAACACAGTGATATGTCAGCAGTCACAAAGCAGTCCAATTCTATAACAATATTATTTCAAATATTCAAGTAACTTCATTTTTTGGTGGGCTTATCACAGATYTTTGTGGGAGGAAAGAAAACTTTCAAAATGTAAAATATATTCATGCAAAATATTACAAGAGAAGGCAGTGTGGTTACCTTTGAAATGAGGGAAAACAGAAACTCAGATGTACCTTATCCATAGCATTTACTTTTAGGGGAAGCAGAAGTCCTAAGGTTTGCTGTGTTAACTTGCTATTTGAAATCAAGGACCCTAAGGAAGAACAAAGCAATCAAGGAAATAAAGATCAGATCATAAGTAGTAGAAACACTGCTGTTCCTAGTGAAGAATCTAGGACTGAGGTTCATCTGAAGGTGTGGTGACAATGAAGCCATTAAAGAGAAAGTAAGAGAAAGTAGAAAGCTTACTATAACAAGAAAACAAAATTGCCACTATCTACCACTGTTCCTATATGATTTCTTACAGGTCAACCTTGTTCAGAATACTGACAGAGAATGAAGTCTAGATAAAAACCTCCTAAGATTCTTTGCCCTATATCTAATTATTGCAAAGACAGTTTAGAGGTAAATATTTTAACAATAAATAAATTTCTAGGAATCACAAAATAAACATCATAGAATTTATGAATTATAGCAAGGAAGACTTTGAAAAAATCATGTTGAATGTGAATGGACTAGATATCATAATTATTACTTTTCATTTTCTTCGTTAAATATTTCTTTTTAAGGATGTACAAGTAACATTAACCTTAGACTTTTTAAATATATATTTTTTCAGTTGTAGATAGACACAGTATCTTTATTTTATTTATTTTTATGTGGTGCTGAGAATTGAACCCAGTGCCTCACACATGCTAGGCAAGCCCTCTACACTAAGCTACAACTCCAGTCCTAACCTTAAGTCTTAATCAGTAACATTAATCTTAGTCTTAATCACTCTTATTTATCACTATTACACACAAAGATTTAGTCTACAGGCACTGAAATATTACTACCAATAATTCTATGTAATAAGTTCAATATTCTATACCAATATATTTGACAAGATTTCTTGGGGAGCATAATAACATCTAGATTCTTAGGCTTCCCTCTAGACCAAGTGAAACAGAATCTCTAGAGGTGGAGTTTGGTAATACAAGATAACTCTTAAACACACTACATCTYGGAAACRACCATTTTGTAATATTCCTTAGAGTTTGATGGGAATCTAACCCATATTCATTAAGTCCCAACTTAGGTATTATCTTCTCCAGGAAGATTTTTTTGAATTCCACATTATATTCCTCTACCAAATACCACAATGCTATCTTGACATCTCATCAGATTAGAGTGAAATTACACTATTCTGTGCTCATATTCCTACCTTAGAATTTAAGCCCCCTGAGGGCAATCACTTTGTCTATCCAATTTACTACCTCTGCATCTGTAGTTCTTAGAACAACTCATGCACATAATTGGTATTCTTATAAATATATATTAAATGAAGGAAAAATAAATCCACGCATAACACAAGATTTGTGCAAAATGAGACTTACATATTAGTATTATTGATTTCTTCCATAGAGAACTTAGTTCAATTCAGTATTTATTGTGTATCTACTATGAGCAAAGGCACATATAAAGATAATAAGACAATGCATTTACTACCACTTGGGGAAAAGAGAGACATGGAATAAAACTAACTATAATTCTTATCAAACCTTAATAAAACAATACAAGAAACACAAACTGCAATGAGCTTTCTCCTTAACACTGATGAGTAAGATGTGGGCTATCAGACACAGCTACTCACTTCACAGGTTAAGAAAGACGGTCAGATGCAATTTAAATATCTTGGGTTCCCAAGTGTGGCCAAAAAGCAGAACAAACTAATATACTTTTAGAATCTAATAACAACTCTTTAAAAATAAAAATCATCTACAAAACATGACACAAAATTCCCCATTGTGTTCTGATAAAAAGTAAACCTCTAGTCTTGTCTATTCTTTTTCCTGAGCTGTTTCCACCAACTAGTTCTGCCTTCAGTTAAAGTGGGTACGATTATTGATAAATCTAATGTTGTTCCAACTTTTTGTATGCAACTGAAAGGAGGGATGCAACTGCAATATGCACAGTATGGTGTTTAGAGTAATGTACATCTGGTTCTAATCCTAGTTCTGCTGCTTACTTACTGGATGACCTTAGGAAAGTCTGCTTAACCTCTCTATGCTGCAATTTYTTCACTGATTAAAATATGAATAATATACCTACCTCATAATATTGTTCAAAGAATCAAACAAAATAGTAAATTATTGTTCTAGAGCTTTGGTAGATTATAGCTGTTATCATCATCATTGTTACACTTTTTGGAGGGTACAGATTGATGTTTTAAAATTAACTTTACCCATGTTTATAGCAGCACAATTCACAATAGCCAAACTATGGAACCAGCATAGGTATCTATCAATTATTAATGTATGGATGGATAAAGAAAATGTGGTATATATACACAATGGAGTTTTATTCAGTCATAAAGAAAAATGAAATTATGGAATTGGGGCTGGGGATGTGGCTCAAGCGGTAGCGCGCTCGCCTGGCATGCGTGCGGCCCGGGTTCGATCCTCAGCACCACATACCAACAAAGATGTTGTGTCCGCCGAGAACTAAAAAATAAATAAATATTAAAAACTCAAAAAAAAAAAAAGAAATTATGGAATTGCAGGAAAATGGAACTAGAGACCATTATGTTAACTGAAGTAAGTCAAATTCGGTAGGTCAAGGGTCTTATGTTTTCTCTCATATGTGGAAATTAGAGGACGAAGGAAAAGAAAGGTGGGGGTGGATCTCATGGAAATCAAAGGAAGATCAGTGGAGGAAAGGGACCAAGGGATGGAAGGCATGGAGGGAGAGGTGAAGTTTTGGGGAGTGATACTGGCCAAATTATGTTTATATTGTGTATTATATACACATACAAATATGTAACCACAAATACCATCAGTATGTACCAACTATAATGCACCAATAAAAATGTGGGGAAAAAAAGAAAATGCTTTACAGCATGCTTAACCTTGTGCTCAATATTAAGTATGGTTGGTGATAAGGATATTGATATTGATGGCTACTTCCAATGTAAGTCATAGATGAACTGGGGGCAGTGAACGGAAAAAAAATAAGAAAACTTGTGAATTATAAATATCAATGTAAATTTCTCTGAATTATCTCATCWATATAAGTAAATGGTAATTTCATGCAAACAAATTTGTATCATTTCTATTCATATCCAAATAATGAAATGGAAAAAAATGTGCTCACAACTACTGTTTTTATGTCATCTAAGATTCAAACTTTAAATAGCCTACCTATACTTTTAATTTACTTGAGAGACTGGGAGATCATGTGTATATTAATCAGGATACTTTAGATATCTTCTCATTGGGTTTTCTTTTCTTAAATTGTGGTCTAATATATTATTTTTGTCAGGCAATACTATACTATCAAGAATTCACTGAACACATGATAAGATAATGTACAAGTGGATTTCAAGCAAATTGAACAGTACTGGGAACACAGATTACAGAATAAGGCTTCTGAAAGGGAAGATGATATTATAGTAAACAAATTCTTCACTGATTTGAAATATGCTTTGTTTCTGGGGCAATACTAAACTACTACATTTTGTAGTTCCTTTGGGATAGTGTGATTTCAGAAGCTGCCATAAATGCTGGTCAACTTCATATTTGGACTAGCTCATTTAATTATGAAGCTTAGGGGATTTTAGCAGAACAACAAGAAAGTCGAACGTCTTTCTCAAGTTTCTGAGTCAACACCTGCTGCCCACCAGTGGGCACCTATAATTACTGAGATATAAAATTTTGCCTTGAAGCTTTCATGTGAATTCAAGTAAACAAAAAAAGTAGTAGTACTGTCTTGTATGTTAGATGAAGCACAGTGAAGTGCATCTCTTGAACTCTAATCCTTTTTGGAAAAAAATAGACAATTTTGGGGGAGTAATTATTCTAGGTTGTGTCAAGCCACAAGAAGAAAAGATGTGCATTTTGCTATGTGTGGTGGAGAATGGTACCAAATAGCCCTCAAAACCAAATATAAGACCTAGTAATTTATATAAAGGAGAAAAACAATCCATAAATTTGAGGAATATTTTTCTATTCAGTAGTCTGAAAAAGCCAGGGCACCTTCACCATTATAAATACATATATGTGTACATATGTATGTTGTGTGTGAGTGTAGGCATGTGTGTATGTATTGACACACATACAGATAATTTATTATCTTTGAGGACTTGGCAGCTGGGGTGGAGGAGGGTCCTCCCTGAAATTTACAAAAATGTTGATTAGTTTTTGGGCTACATAAGATTTGATACTTATACTAGATAAGCCTCTAAAGAGATATCAGATCACACACACAATTCTGTCTGAAGAAAGGTAGATTTAACAAATAACAGTTGTCTTTTTCTTACTAAAGGTGAAAGCACCAAACTGGCCTTATTAATGTGTTTGATTAAGCTTTGTTACAGCTACATATAAGACTGACAACTCTCTTTATTACAAAGATACCAGGTGTTAACAACAAAGACAGTTGTTTCAAAGACAGGAAAGATAACTGTAGCATCAAATGCCTAAATCTAATTTCTCAGTAAAATCTACATCCCCCTTCAAACTTTTCTTGCATTGTTGATGAAAATACTTAAATGAGGTATTTTGCCATTCAACTCATGTTCTAACTGTAACTCATTTATTTAAAAAATCCTGGAAAAAAGTGCACTGATGTAACAAACAATGAATTTTTTCTTTAATGCAACTCTGTAATATATATTCTTAAAACCCATGTTGCTCATTTGCATTTTTTCTTATAACTCACAAGTATTAAAGCACAGAGCTGCCTTTTTTAAACTAAAAAATATGAATTCATGGTTTTTAAAAAATCTCTTTTAAGGCCTTTCAGTACAGCCAAGCTGAAGTAGTAATATCTATGCATGGTTTCATTATGGTAATAATGAGTTCTAGCTTACAATAACATATTGTACTTAGTGGGGACTAGGAACAATGATATTCTGCTTTTTAGTAATTGGTAAATAGTACACTTTTGTCTAGCTTTACTAAAAATGAGAAAGAAAAAAAGAAAATATTTTTCATATATACAAAACATACTCTATTTAATAAAGTATATGCATAAATTATATGTTAGATAAGAAGCAAAATTGAAAAGAAAATAGCTTATAATATTCTTGATTATTCAGAGTTCCTAAATATAAAAACAACAAATAAAAGTGCCTTGCCATTTAAAAAAAATTAGTACATTGTATAACTTTTACATACGTCAGAGGAAATAAAGATCTTGTGACACTGTTCTGAGGAATCTTTACATTTATAAAAAATCGAAGGCCTAATTTTGCAAATACAACTTCCAAGCTGTATGAGCAAATTGAACTTACATGAAAGGCACAAGATGACATCACGTTGAAGAACGTTATCTGTAAATTTCATAAAATCTAGTCACAAGTCACTAGAAACTTCATAAGGAATCTCAGAACTGTTTTTAACTTGATGTTCTGAATCAAACTGAACAGGATAGTCTTTACATCACCATATAAACTGAAGTGAGGGCGACAGAGAAGAGTTTCTTATTTTGAATGCTACCTGCCTTATGCAGTGTTACTTACTAAATACTCAGAGCAGACAATTAAATTTTTCTTTAACTTGAATCGCATTCAATTTCCAATAGCTCAGCTTATTTTTCAGTTTGTAAAAAAAAGTTTTTCACAATACTACAATTGTAAAGAGTCAATCACTGAAAGAAATTCTAAAATAAAGTCCTGTTCTATTGGCTTCCTACATTGGAATACAAGAATACAGGAAGTGCTTTCAACAGAAAGTTACATAGTTCTACAGTACAACCTGTCTAGAAGGCTTGCAAGGGACCAGAACATGACTTGGTCTCTTTGGATCAGGCAAAAGCAAAGGCAAATAAAGAAATAAACTTTTGAAAAACAACAAAGCTTCAAAATTCTTTTGTGAAAATGAATACTTGCTTGCACTTAGATTTAGTGCTATGGAGAAGAACCGAGGCACAATGAAACTAAGGGCACAAAGAACATGTCTGAATCAAAATAATTTTAAATGTGATTGAAACCCTTCACTATTAAATATGACTTGTGATAGTGCTGGAGAACTATTTTTTTATATTAAATAACATTATAAACACCAAGACTGGCCATTTAAAATGTTTCAGGTAATATGTAGGGTGATACTAAAATAGTGTTGCAACTAAAATTCTGATTTTTTAAAATCACTTATAATCTTCCATAAAATTACTGGCTCTTTTGCTAAAGTAAAAGTAACTTCAAATCAAAAGCATATTTTTAAATCTCTGGAGGACCGTTAGTTTAACATTAATGATGTCAGTTTCTCAGTTTCCAGACAAGCTCTATGAGAGACACATCTTTTCTTTATTTATGTCAGTATTAGATGATCTTTCCACACATCTAAAGAATTTTGGTAGAGTTGAATATTATTCTTCAAAGAATAGCTCTTCTCATGGTGACCAGGTAAAAACAGCAGTGTTGTAATAAGAAATAATTCTGCCTTTGACTGACCGCTCGTTCATCCTCTTCATCACGACTCCAGTAATGCATGCCACCTACATACTTGCTGTCCTTTCGACTCCTTCATTTCAGTCCAGTGATTGAGTTCCTCTTCTCCAGAGCTGTTCAGACCTAAAGAAATCCAGCCTATCATTTCTTTTCTTTTCATGCTGCGTTTGTTATACACAGATAGTATAAGTGTCACATCAGAAAGTTGAAATAGGGCCACTTGAAATACAAAAGTTTCCTTGTATACTGGATTTGGCTGCCCTCTGCGGATGGATGTCTTGCACTTGGACATCTCTTGACCCATGGAATTCAGTAGAGTTAACTTAACATATGTATCTAAAGAAAAAAACCGACATAATACAAATATCATTTGCAACGAACTTGGAACAATTTCCTTATAACAAGTGCTGAGAAGATTCAGTATTTATACTTTATAAGGATATGGTGTATACCATGTTTAAAAAATTCAACCAATCCACTTTGATAGAGATACTTATAAAATGTGACAAGTACAGAGAATGCTGATTAGTCTGAAAATATCTTGGGAGTAATAATATCTTAACCTCTCTATTTCTACATAATAGAATTTAAAGGTATACCTCATAATCCTTCCTCCACCCTCCCATCCCATCTTTGACATCCCACTACCTCCCCTGCCCATTCCCATTCCCATTTAGCTTCACTAAGCAGGACATCATGGCATTAATAAACACTTAGCAAGCTCAATTAGCCACAACACTGTAAAGCATTCCACTGTGTTTTCAGAGAATAAGAATCAACAAACAAATAGAAATGAAGGCAAATGGTGAAGAGGAAAAGAGGAAGACAAGAATGCAAAGATGACATCAAAACAGCTTAGGATGAAATGTCAAAAAAATCTCTGCATGGATGTGGTTTTTAAATATATTTTAAAACATTTATGGGTCATAATAAAGCCAAATGCATTAAGGGTTCAAAGTTTAGCAAACCAAGTAAAACTTTCCTGGTTTCATGCAAGGATACATTTAATGTGCTTCTTCATTTTTTTTTTTTTTTGAGTAGTTAAAATAAATAGTATAGGGTTTCTTTTAGATACAATTCAATGTGAAATTTTAAGTATGATATCTTACTATTTTCATGAATCATAAAAAAAACTGATGGGATGTTAGTGTACAAAGTGAAAAATAACACTTCATTGCCTGATTAAATCAAAGATAAGTCCTCTCGTTAAAAGATTATGTTTCAAGTTCTTTAGACTCATGCAAATGATCTTCAGCATGTTGATCCATCATGTGTACTTCATATCAAAATTTCAATTAATTTCAAAGACAATTGCAATAATTCTCATGAAATAGCTATTTCTGTTATACAATTCAAAATACAAATAAACGGAAAAATAAAAACTTTTATTTAAAAAGTTTGGCTTGTTTTATTGATACTCTGAATACCATCATCCATAATCAGAGATAAATTCTAAGTTAGTTTTATTTAAAGTATCACAGATAATAAATGTGCATTTTTTCAGAAACCAACATGGTGGACAGCTTCACTGCTGGCAAGTTTTAGGGTATTTTGTTTTTGCATGAAAAGACAACATCCAATTAGCCTCTACAAGAACTCACCTCGGATTATATAAACCTGTCCACCTATCAAGTGTTTTAGACAACAGAACAGTCCATCTGACAACAGGGGGTGGAAAGCAGTAAAAGAAATAATGACCAGATGTCAATCGTTGGGTGAAAGAGGGTCAAAGGTCAGAATTAAAGAGGAAACACTGTTCACTGGAGTGGAAAAACACAAAACTTTAGCATTTTAATTCAGGTAGAGGGCTGAACAAAAGGGTTGTTGGGTAAATTTCATGGAATGAAAAATTTTAAGGTCATTGTGTAATCTTAAATAAAAATTACACTATTTTAAAGGGGGACATCTTTATAATGATAACTTGGTCTAAAGCACATTGAACATTGAATCATGCAAATTATTAGACTATAAAAGACTGAATAAAAGTCATTATAGGATCATCATTATTATTATGCTAAATTTAAAGTTTATCCATGCAATATTAATATTTGAAATAGATCTATTACTCCAACATAATATAAAACTAAGTTATGCAAACAACATACAGTTATCACAGCTTTTGCTCTTGAATATTGCTATTTCTTTGGATTAAATTGGGATTATTCAGTCTACAACACAATTCAAGGTTTAGAACCTAGGTATATGTGAAGGGCTATAATTTATATAATATGTAGAGTTTAGGACGAACAGATAGAACTGTCTTGCATATCACTTTTTAAATATCTTACATCTCCTTTATAAATACTCTACTTTCATATAATTATTTTAAAAATTGACTTATATTTGCTTATTAGTTACCTCTCAGCTAATACCATAATCAACCTTATGCTGAAAAACTAACTCTAAAACAATGACAATTGTTATCATCCACTCTTAAACCAGAAAAACCAACTCCATGTAGTGGCTGCTAATCTTTCTTAATTTTACTATCCAATCTTGCCCTTCAGATCATTTTGAGCTCTGATTCCTTTTTAGTTCCGTTTTCTATTTCTATCAGAGAACCATTTCATTCTGCTACTTTTAAAACATCTCCAGTTAATTATCTGTCAAAAAATTATTAACCTATTAGCTAAACTATGAATAGCACATTGATTACTTGTGGCTCAATGTGAACCCAAATGGTGTTATATCTTATACTATGTTAAAACATCTTTAAATTAGAATATTTACATAGAGTTTGCACTCCTGAGGTTGTCTCGCCTCACTATCCTTCGTTTTATCTACAAGTCTTATTCTATAGTTTATCTTTCCAGCCATTTTAATTTGCATTCACAGTGTGTATGAATGAAGATAACTGAGTCACAGTTGCCAGTCTGTTTATGCTAGGATTGGCTTCTTTCCTCCTACTGAATATTTCCTTTCAAATAAAAAAGTGGATAATACTAATTCTATCCTTTTATGCACATTTGTCAGATCTGTATCTCACAATTACTCTGAGAAACACAGCCTTAGCTTTTCCTATAAAGAAACAGACTTAAGAGAGCTTGGTCATTTGTCTAAGGTAGAAATGTGAATACAATTTTGGCCTTCAGACTTATAATTCAGGGATAGATGGATTCTATGATCTTTAACATTACTATGGGCAGACCAAATATATTTTTATGACTTTTGACCTTAATTGAATAATGAATTTTTTTGACACGGAGAAGTCAAGTTAATTTAATTCAAGGGTGCTTTAATAACTGCTTGAYACCTGGAGTAAAAGACAAGTCTTCATGAAACCTTTAGGTAAATTTAAGGAGGTGTTTTTATTCAAGATTTTCTTTCCAATTTTTAGTTCAGGGCATCAACAGCTTTAATTTTAGAGAAATATACAATGAAGTTGCTCTGTTCCCAGTATACTTCCCATAGCTGTCAACAAAAAGTTTTGGATTAAAATTGGAAGACAATTTCTTTATGCTTTTATAATCTATCTCCACCCCCTTGAACTGAAGGTAAGAGAAGCTGAGAGGCACACAGGGCAGAGGTATGTTGTTAGCTCTCACTTCTGACCATCTAGGATAAACCTCCAAACTTTCTTATTCTGTTTGTCTGGTAAAGGTAAAAGCGCATTCCATCTAAGAAAAGACTGTTGGCAGTACTGGTTTGTAATTATTTTTTTTTTAAACTTTTATTTTTTTTTGTGGTGCTGAGTAGTGAATCTAAGCCTTGCACATGCTAAGCATAAGTTCTACCATTGAGCTACACCCTTGGCCCCCTATACTTTTAAATGAGAAGAAAATCTAAAGAAACAGTTCCTCTTACATTGTTAAGGAAAAAAGAAGGGGAAATATAGAAGTAAATACATTAGTTCAAAGCACTATATGTAGATAGAAAACAATTTTACTTTTTAGTTAACAACACTGTACACATTTCTATTCATACTTATGAATATTACTCACTTTTAAAAACCCTGTAACTTTTTCCATCAAAAGATAATGGCTATGATAGGGATAATTTATTCTGTAGACACTGTGAAAAATTAAAATTCCTATCACCACACAATATTTTGAATTTCAAATTTTTTCTACTTCCCAAATGACTGGAAATAGAAAACATGAAACAGATTAGCTGATGATTCACCATTTCATTTTGATTGGTTAAGACTAAAATGATAGGATTGAAGCCCCTAATGCTGAGAGTCCCATAAGTGCGGAAAATGTTACAATTAAAATTTTTTTTCACTCACTGGGTGGTCTGTTCGCTGCCAAGTTTTTGAAGTGGCTGCCTTTTATCACTTCTGCTGATAATCTTCCAGTTGTGGCATTATAAAGCAGGCCAATGAGAATTTCTGGAACTGAACCATGTTCAAGAGATTGACAAGACGATGTACTTTCACTACAGGACATTTCTGACATGCTCACTTGGGAGTCACAACCCTGTTAATAAAAATGAAATTTTTATAGTATTTTTTCAAGAAAGACTTATTAGAGATATATTGTTACGTCAGCTTATTGGAATAAGGTAGGTAAATCATGATAAAGACAAGAGTTGCAAACTGAACTCCTCAAACACTATATTAAAAAAGATTGTCCTTAGATATTTTAGTTGCTAGATCTCTCTTCATTTTACAGGAGTCAAAGAAGTAATAGAATATGATAAAGTTTCATAAACTTCTGTCTCTTTATGTATATATCAAAGAAGATAAATTTAAGTTTATATACGTTACTGAACTATTTTAGGAATATGAAGAAATATTGCCTAAAAAGTTTTCAACCTTAAAAAACTACACCAATTTAGATTCAATTATATTAAATTAAATGTCTTAATTGTGCCTTTAAAGACAAAGATTGGCACAGTTTCAGTAAACAAAGCGATCTACTATTTATAAGCCAACATACATATATGCAAAAGTTAAAAAGGTGATAAAGTTTACCATGCATATAACAACCAAAAGGAAATTGATGTAGCTACATTAGTTTTATCAGGGTTGACTTCAAGGCAATAACATACTGGAGGTGAAGTAGTATAGTTAATAATGATAAAGCATTCACTTTACCAAGAAGATAAAATAATTCCAAATTTGCATGCATTTCATAACCTGGGCTGAAAACACAGAAAGCCAAACTAGCCACAACTAGAAAGAGAAACAAATATAAATAAATAAATAAAKAAAGAAAGAAAGAAAGAAAGAAAGATACTGTGCCCAACTACAACTAAAAATATTTTTTTAAAAAAGATAGTATGAACAGATTTCTTCCAATAAGTCTGAAATTTGAGTCCTGAACACACTCATAGAAAACTATAGCAAAAAGGGACACCAAAAGAAATGAGTATCTGAATATTCTTACTGAAAAAATTGAACTTATAATTAAAAACCTTTCCAAAACAAACACACACAAATGCAAAAAACTTTAGCCCAGATGGCTTCACTAGTGAATTTCAATTAATAATACTAGTTTTTGGGCTGGGCTGTAGTTGGCAGAGCACTTGTCTAGCTGGTGTGAGGCACTGGGTTTGATCCCCAGCAACACATAAAAATAAACAAAATAAAGGCATCCTGTTCATTTACAACTACAAAAACAAATAAATAAATAAAAATTAAAAAAAGATAAAAAAATTATAAAAAAAAATGCTAATTTTCCACGAACTCTTCCAGGGAGTGAAGAAAAAACACTGCTCAACTTCCATTAAGAATCTAGCAAACCTTAAAACCAAAGCCTATCAAGGACATAAAAAGAAAAGAATTACAGGATTTTGTTTCATGAGAGTAGATTCAAAAAATGCTAACCAAACTATTAGCAAACCAAATTCAGCAATATGCAATACCATACTAAAAATGATTTCCCCTTTGAAACAGAAAAAAATATTTTCTCTTCGAAACTACTATCACCACTCCTAGTCACACTGTAGTGGAGATCCCACCCAGTGAAAGTCCTAGTCTTACTAAAGACAAGAAGATGAAATTAAAAGTGTCATAATTTGGAAGGGAAGCAGATAAAACTGTACTTATGTAGAGAACATATCATTATGTATACAGCAAATCTAAACAAATCTAAAGAAGAATTGAAACTACGTACAAAGGTAAAATTTAAAAATTCATGTATGTATTACTATATGTCAGCAACAAATCTGAAAACAAGTTTACCAATATAGTATTTATTATAGGGCTGGGGATAGAGCTCAGTTGGTAGAGTGCTTGTCTCACATGCACAAGGCCCTGGGTTCAATCCCCAGCAACTTCCCCCTCCCAATAGCATTTATTATAGCATAGAAGTATAAAATATCTAAGAATAAATGGAACAAACAATATGCAAGCCTCTAAGCAGAAAGTAATGAATTTTACTGAGAGAAATTGAAAAGTGCTATATAGATAAATTAATATATTAATTGAGTTTTGTAACATTCTCTCCATATTGATCTATAGGTTAAATGTTATTCTAATAAAAATCTCAACAGGCTTCTTTGCATTTGCTTGACTTCATTAGCAATCAGGGAAATGGAAATTAAAATCATGAGGTAATACAAAAAACAGATGGGCTAAAAGGATACCAAGTGTAGTGAGGATACAGAGAGATGGAACTATCATAATTCCCTGGTGGGAGTGTAAAGTGATACTGCTTTTAAAAATGTCAAAAATACACATACCTATGGCTTGGCAATTTCACACCTACATATATATTGCTCAGAAATATACCCAATGTTCATCAAAGAGATATGAAAGAATTTCCACAGAAGCACTGCTCATGCTGGACCCAAACAATACAACGGACAATTTGTGGTAAGTTCATGAAAACCATTATATATTTACAAATGTAACTGAATGAAAAAGGGTGGGTTCAGATGGATACATCCTAGCAGCAAATTCCATTTATGTAAATTTCAAAACAACAACAGCAGCAACAAAAACCCAAAACCAAACAACAACAAAAACAACTAGGCAAACTAAGCTATAGTGTTCCAGAAGTGTGAATAGGTGGCAAAAGATAAAGAAAAGCAAGAAAATGATTAATATTAAAGTCAAAATTGTGGTTAACTCTAGCAGTGGGAAAGAAGGTAAAATAACTGGGAAGGATATGACAGAGATTTCTGGATGTACTAGGTATTTTTTAATTCCTTAATGTGGATGGTAGTTAATTTGCGATAAATGGGTAGTACAATTTCTATTATTTCCATGTTTCTAATGTGTATTGGGTTTCACAGGAAAAAATGGTTTAAGAAAAGAATTATATGATACAAGGACATAACATGCACAAATAAACATACAATGGTAAAATAAATATTTAGAATTTCCTTTGAAGATTCATAAAGGTATTCATTCCACCAGTCAGAAAGAAAACAAAGAGGCTATATCACTACTGCTTATAACAATGTTTCACATAAATCTTCAAGTTTAAATCTGTTATTGGCTATATAAGTAATGACGGAGAATTAACATATATGTAGAGACTGAATTAGTTCAATGGACTAATCTTCAGAAGAATAATATCTCATATTTTCAAATCTAACTCTAAATCTCAGAGAGGAAAGCCACAGGAATATACATTTTATATTCCTAAATCATGGGTACACAAAACACCAAGTTTGGTATGTTTTCATGACAGTTGGAGGAGAAAACATAATTTTAGTAATTTTCAATTAGGATATATCATCACTTATGAAAATAGTGTCAAAAACATGCTTGAACACATTTGGTGCATTTGTTACATTAGGCTATTATACTAGCAGCATCTGTTAGAATATTATGAAATACTTTTCATAACCTAGTATTCTTCACATTAACCTACTGTCATATAATAAAACGTGAACCTAAGACTTGTGTATCAGCACACATTTTGTTGCTACCTTTGAGCAACAAAATGCTCCCCAAAGGAAGTGATAGGTGAGAACTTTTCTTGTCCCTAAGGAGAACAACCACCTTCTCTCTCCACTGTGCTGTGAAAATTCTTACCTCCAAGCACAACAAAAAGCAAGAGCATCAAGAGCCTCTAACATTTAAATAACAGAAAAAACTATTCTTTAATAGAGTTCACTCTGAGTTTCTACTTTAGAAAAAGTGCTAATCTCAAGGACTTTCCACTGCCATCAATGTGCCTGCCCACTGAGATACCAGAGTTGTGGCAGTCCAAGGAGATCCCTGAGCACAAAAGCAGGTGGAACAACTACACAAACAGCGTCACAGTAGCAAAAACAAATTAAACACACATACTATACATATGCTCAGGTGGCATCTTTCTTCTCACTATTCCTCAGGGCATGCTGCTCCATTCAGTGTATATTCAGGAATCTTTGCAGACCCTGTCATTAATTTACAGCTGGTGGCAGTAATGGGCAGGTGATTAACCCAAAGTCAAGCAAATTCCAGTCATAACTAGATCTACTTAAAGGACTAGTCCCACAGGCTCCCCAAAGTAAAACTTCCAATCTTGCATATAATTTTATTTCTTTTTATTACTTCCCCTCCTTTCCTGAGTCTTTTGCCCCAGGGTGAAGGATTATAAGCAATTCTATGAAAGTAGGAAAAAATCTACTTAAAATTTCAGACAAATGAATAAACTATATAATGTTTATCATAACCACAATTAGTGCTTATGCCAGCCAATACATTTCCTTAATGGTGCTAACGGGTTAAAATTAGGTGAGAACTTATAAATATATCTAGAAGAGCCATACAATTTAAAAAACAAAATCCCTAAGAAGTAAACATACTGGGCCATGAATACTGAATTGATTCTGACTTACTTGTAACTACTTACACTCAATATTTTAAAGGTACAACTATACAATGATAATTACAAAAAATTAAAGATTTTTCTATTTAACTTATTCACTACAGTTCGAAGATAGTTTAGGTTTTTAACTGTATTCATATATGAAATGCTTCCATTACACTTTTCTGAAATGGGGGTGATAGGCGTACTGAGGATGATGAAGGGTAAACCTGGGGAAGGCACCTGCTTCAATGCTGAACTGCCACAAAAGTGAGTTTCATCTCCAGCAGCAGTGCTCCCTCCTTAGGGCCTTTTCCTAGCCTCAGGGAATGAGGTACCCAGGAGATAACCAGAGGCAATTTCAGAAGAGAGAAAGCAAGAACAGCATTGTGCTCCAAATCCTGCCTCCTCTGCTCTGAACATCCAGTATGTATTTTTGGTAGGGATTGTCCAAACACCAGGTAAATCTAAAGGATAGCCAGACACTGTGGTGCATGCCTATAATACCAGAGACTCTGGAGGCTGAGGCAGGAGGATCACAAGTTCAAGGCCAGCAACTTAGCAAGGCCCTAAGTAACTTAGTGAGAGCCTGTCTCAAACAAATAAAAAGTAAAGAAAAAGAGCTGGGGATGTGCCTCAATGGTTAAAGTGCCTCTGGATTAAATCCCTAATATTACTAAATAAATAAATAAATAAATAGGATAGCCTACCCAGGAAAGCAGTGGATG